TGAACAAGAGTAGCAGTACTGAGCAAGTGTTGAGGTCAAGGGAAGTTCACTGTGACAAATTACTTCATAAACAGCAAGTCTGTGGTATAGATTGAACTTGTAACCTCTGGTCATGTGACTGCTGTTTAAAACAGTTATGTCAGAGCATGATCTGATTTAGTCTACAGACGGCTAAGGCAAAACCTGCTGTGCTGCCCAACGAAAAACGTTTATCTGGACTGATCTGGAAAAAAACCCAACAATCAAACGATAGCCTGTGAGCTAGCACTTAGTGATGGTCGGAAGAAGGGTTTCCATATTAACGGAAAAAGACCTCTAAGCATGATCAGAGGGGCAGCAAGGGAATATATAGGGAATGAAAAGATGTAAGTGGAGAAGAAATGCTCAGTGCATCACGGAAAGACCCCAAGCAACCTGAGCTTATATCAGCACAACTAAGGCGGTGGTTCAGGGCCACGTGACAGAGCGACAACTACAGGCTTTATCAAAAAGGAACATTTTAAAGCTGATCTTACTATACAGAGGGTGTCAAGTGGAAGCTTGTTCCACAACAGAGTGCTCTGTCTCCTATTTTACTTTTAGAAACTTTAGAAAGTCTGAGAAGTCTGAGAGCAAGGTGCTCTATTAAAACAGTACAATACTATGAGGTCTTGCATTAGTATTGCGAGTACAGTAATTTTAGTAAAGACCATTCGATTTAGATCAAGTAACATAATATAACGTAACAAATTTATGACACTACTGAACAGTTATTCGCATACCTGTATATTTATCTTTTCTTCAAATAACCTCCACCAGTAGCGTACAATCTAAACTGTCAGTCAAGGTTTGTCTGTCTGCCTTGGGGGTAGGGTCCTTTGAGACCTGAGAATTAAACCTGTGAGGAAATCCATTCATCTAGTCAATCGCAGCTGGATTAACCACAGCCTCTGGCAGTGGTCAATCGATACCTTCTGCAGTGAGGTGCCGAAGTTCCCAACGGAACCTCTGCAGAGCGGCTTGGCAATACAGCAAACTGGATCGCTGTTTAACACCAAGGTAGCCGCAGTCTGAGCATGTGCTCCGAGGGATCTCTCGGTCAATATCAGCATCTCTCAGCTTAAATATAAACAAGAAGCGTGTTTGTGCTTTTGGAGTGTTCAGGGATGAGTCACGCCTGGTTGGAGTGCCTCTAAGAGCCAACGCATTATAAACTAATTAACACATTGACCTAAGACATACTATGATCTTATTTTATTTTCTGCTTCAAACAGGAACTTTTTACTGCTCGCTGGACATTTTTTGGTTTCTCTTGTAACCATTTTGCCAGATTT